TCTTTGACTGCCTTTGGGCCAATCAATGCTAGATATGCACCCCCCCTCCCCCCTAAAATGTATTCTACTCATTCCCTTCTTTGATAGAATCACTGGAGAGAAAGCAAGTACAATTTGTAGACACCAAGAGGAACCAACTCCTCATAGGGACTTTCACAGTCCTCTTCCTTTGTCACTTATGTATTCTGTCTTCTGGGAAGGGCCACTCTTAGAACAATAGACAGCAGTGGCAGCCAGCTGTTTTCACTTGTTTCTGATGGAAAAATAAAGCCATCCTGTCATGGTGATATTGAATCTCCAGCCCTTAAATGGATGTCCCAAGAGACTCTGAGTCAGTGAGTCCTGCTTTTTGGGACAGTCTCAGTGACTATTGTCCCAGCCTAACTGTTAATAGTGACACCCCTTTTTCACTCTCAAAAATGACCTGTTTATATAGTGAATTAGACAGTACCCCTCCTCTAATAATCATGTGTACCAGGCTGTTGAGAGGCCCAAGAGACCTCCATTTGCCTGATACTATTAATTTAAGTTAAAGAATAGATCACCAAGACTACTTAGTGTCAGGAAAACTAAATGAAGAAAATTGAAAAGTCCCACAAGATACCATGATCAAGAATGGCACCTGAGGACTAAGTCCCAGACTGGGTACAGTAGGAAGAAAGGTGAGCAGTTCCATGAATATAAAATGAGGAAAGTAATGTTACCGGCTTCACAGGGTTGTGGTCAGGATGAAATGATTAATGCTGAAAGGAGTTTGGATCTGTTCTGGGCACAAAAAATGTTACCACAAATTTTAGTTCTTGTGATTTAACCAAGAAAATTCTTAATTTATTCTTTGCAGAAGTCAGAAAGTATAATTATGTGTTATTACAGTAACACATTATTAATACATTAATAAATAAGATTACCAATCAGAATGACAGATTTAAAGATTAAGCTTTCATTTTACAGGACATAAAAATGTTTTATTGTACAAGACATACCCCCAACATTAATGTGTGCTATGTCCACCAAAGTACATGTACACCAGCGTTACTGCAGACTTACCCATAACAGTCTAAATTTAAAAAGCCTAACTATCCAACCACATAGAATGGGCTAATAAAGCATGGTATCCTTATACAATGGAATATTATGCACCGATGAGCAAGAGCAAACTATTGATATAAGCAAAATGGATGAATGAATCTAATAGATATAATGTTGAGTGGAAGACAGCCAGATACAAAAGAATTCTTTTTTTTAAATTTCTTGTATTTGAACATCAAAGGCGGGCAAAACTAATCTATAGTGATGGAGGTGAGAATGTGGCTTGCTTTTGGTGGGGGGTCTTACCTGGCAGAGGGCAGGAGGCATCCTCTGGTGTGCTGGAAATATAATACATCTTCATCTTATGGTGGGAACATGGGCTTTTGGACGTATAAAAGTTCACTGAGCCTGTAAGTTATATTTCAATGAAAAAAACATTAACAATGAGATCAGTGGGCCCTACCCGGTTTCACTCAGTGGATGGAGCATCAGCCTTTGGACTGAAGCGTTCTGGGTTCAATTCTGGTGCAGAGAACAGGCCTCGGTTGCAGGCTCAATCCCCTGCCATGGTCAGGGTGGCTGCGGGAGGCAGCCGATAGAGGTGACTCTCTCACACGGATGTCTCTCTCTCTTTGTCTCTCCCCGTCCCTTCTACTCTCTCTAAAAAACAGTGCAGAAAATATCCGTGGGTGAGGATAAGATTAGTGGGAAAATAGATGCTGAAAGCACATGTAAGTCAGGAAGAGCTGCCAGTGCCTAAATTGCTCAATCAATAAATATTTACTGAGTCCTGCTAGGACATACATGTCAAGGATTTCTTTAAACTAACTCATTTGGAAAAAAGAAATATCATGATGTCTTAATTTTTCTTTATGTGCTTTGTTCTGTGGAGATTTTCATAATAATTTCATGTACTTGGTGTTTGATGAGTCTATCCAATAGTCTCTCTCTGTCAGGGCACAATGACTGTTCTTTCTGTGATGGCTGCTTGACATTGATTCCATGTTTCCCTGATAGATGGGGCGTTTTCTCCAAGTACCTCTCACTAGTTGGTAGCAAAACCTGACACAGCTGTTCTCACTGGTATTATGCAGAAAATAATCTGAGGCTTGTTCAGAGTGCTGATTCCTAGCTCCACTCCTCCTCCAGGATCCTGGCTCAGTAGCTATGAGAGGAGGGTCAGGAATGCACCCTTTCTACAACTTTCCAGCAAAGTGAAATGTGGGTGGGTCATGCAACAAATTCTGACCTACACTGACCCAAGGGAGGAGAAGATAGCCTTTATTGTGTGCAGAAATACTTAGCCACTGCCCCACAACCCTTTTTCGAAACTAGTACACAGAGAATATCATAAAGAGCAATAAGACATGAAGTTGAAAGTGCAGAAAAATTGAATTTGTCAAATTTCAATGGAAAATTGATAAAATATTCAATTGCCAAATTAATAAGATCGGCTTCAGTTCCACATGTAAGGAGCTTGGAAGTCACCACTTCATCCTAACAACAAGCGAAAAGCTGAACACAATGGAAAATCAAATCTTCTTGGATTCATATGAGAGGTGAGGACACAGGGCAAACCACTGCCCCTGCAATTGGACACAGATGGATCCAGGGATCCCGGCTCACTGGAGTGTGGGAGCTGAAACCGCTGGGGAACCTGAACTAGAATTGGTGAATTGCTGGACGCTCAGCAGGGGTAACTCTGAGAGTTAAAACCTCTAGGGGGACTCAGTTATCGGGGGTTCTCTACAGTATTCTGAGATTTACCTTCAGGAGCTCCACCAGGTTCTCACAACAAAAATACCTTAGAAAAAAATCCTCTGTCTTCCAGCAGGGGGTGCACTCTGTTCTCAACCAGGCCTGCCCTCAGGGAAAACTGTGTGATGTGTGTAACTGACCTGGGGAAGGGAAATAACCAACTCCAGCCCACTCTAGTTATCCTGTTCCACTCCAGGGGGATAAGAAACCTGAGAAATACTAGTGAAGAGTTCCACTCTGGTGACCTCATGTAACCTTAATTACGTCCTTAATCCAAATACAGCCACAGGGGAAGTTAGGACTTCAACATACACATTTTTCGGTGGGGGGTTGGGGGAGGAGGCAGAGACATAATTCAATTCAGAGCACTGGCCCTTTCACAGCTAGCTTCCAGGGAGTTCAGAGGCTCTCTACCCCCTGCCCCATGTGGTCTGTGAGTTAACAGCAACCCTGGGCTGTTTCCTGTCAGGTTTCATTGGAGGAGTTCTTGCTTACCAGCTGTGCCTTCTGACTCCCAGCAATCATTATCAGCCTTCCAATGGGCTACAGACTTTCCAGCCTGGTGTATTCTTTAACCCTGTGGTCGGCAAACTCATTAGTCAACAGAGCCAAATATCAACAGTACAACGATTGAAATTTCTTTTGAGAGCCAAATTTTTTAAACTTAAACTATATAGGTAGGTACATTTATATCAACTTAATTAGGGTACTCCTAAGGCTTAGGAAGAGCCACACTCAATGGGCCAAAGACCCGCATGTGGCTCTCGAGCCACAGTTTGCCAACCACTGCTTTAACCCCTTAGCAGTTGAATCCTATTATCAGTTAATAATCCTCTTATGAAAATTTCCCTCTTCAAATGACCACCTGGTTTCTGTCTCCTGAATGGACCCTGACAGATAAGAGGTGTCTTCTCTATCCTGCTCTCTCCTCACTACCAATTCCGTGGTTTTGAGCTGGTTAATATGCAGAAGCTGGGAGGAAATATTCACAAGTGAGGCGGCATTATATCTGCATTTAGGCTTGAAATGAGGCAATAAAAATACCGTGGAGGAAAACTGCTATGGAGGCATTTCTTAGATGGCAAGGACAGAAATTGATTAACAATTGGATTTGCTCAGAGATGAACAGACTATCAAGGTGGCAGTTGCTAGAACAGGATCCCGTGGTCCAATCCTCCCATGGCTGTGTCTCCCGCCCCCCAGGCAGAGACCACTGAGCGACTTAATTTTAATGAGATTCACACCCTGGGGGCAGAGACAGTGACTGGACAAAATTGACAGGGAGTTAGGAGGCCTGGACATGAAAGGGCTTGAAACAGCACAAAGCAGAGGGGAGAGTTGGTACAGGGTGTCTGCCCTATATGACTTGAGATTGTATCCCCTACACCCGAACGTGCAGGTACAGGCGGGATCCTCTCATGGCTGTCCATCCATCACCCCATGGTATCAATGACCAGTCCTTATAGGAAATAACAACACACAGTTTTTAACATTCAATCTCTTAAGCATTTATTAGACATCCATTATGTGCCCTCTGTCAGCATCTGGGGATGTAGAACTCAATGACTCAGGGTCCCTGCCCTTAGGGGGCTCACAGCCCCATCTCCTGAGAGCAGAGTGAAGAAGCTCAATACTTGTCAGGCAGGCCGGGAGGTCTGTAGTGATTGGGGTCTTTGCCACTCCGGCCCCATCTGTTGGCTTCCTGGTCGGCCAGTGAGTCCTCCAATCCATGGCCGCTGTCTCCATGCTTAAGAAGGTCACCGACTCTCGGATAAGCCTCTCTGAAATCACTGGAATGGAGGAGGGCAGGTAGGAGGTGAATAGGGGCTGAGGAGAAACAGCACCACCCTCCCCTTTCCAAGGGATTAATGACTCTGGGAGGAGCCTGGAATGAGGCTAAGCACTGACCCTGCCTGGGCACAGCCCACTCAGCCCTGGGGTGACCCCTCCCACTGGGTGAACAGCACCTAGAGGGGAGGGCCAATCAGTCCTTGGCCTTCGGTTTCTCATTCTGGGGGACAGGCCCACAAGCCATTTTCTGGCTCTGCTGGCAGCCCAGGCCCTGCGCTGGGCTGGGATGGAGAAGGTGGAAGGAAGAACATGAGGAGGAGCCCAGAGTCCCAAAGTAGTGCTTCTCTAGGGCTTACAACTCCACTTCCCCAAACTCAGCCAAGCTCTGCTCACCCATCCAGCATCCCAAGGAGCCAGGTTACCTGATCACTTCAGCAGCCCAGACACCGCCAGGTCCCCTTTGGGCAGCGTCATAGTTCCCCCGGGCGTGGAAGTACTTGTCTGAGTTTTTGTAATTGGCTTCTCTCATGTCAGAGTAGGCTCTCCACATGTCTTTGGCTCCTGGAAAGGAAAGGACATGGCACAGAGACATCAGGTGAAATATCCGAGAACCGTGATACCCGTTAGAGAAGAATCAAGGGAGAAAATGGACCACTGACTCAGTTTCACCCTGTGGTCTTGGCACCCTGGAGACCACAGGTTGAGAAGAATATTCTCCAGGCCCAGTTGGCTTCCCCAGGTGACTCTAAGGAGAGACATTTTGGTGGGGGCACAGCTGGGCTGTACCTGGTGGCCTGATGCCTGTCATGCTGTCTGTGGGCTCCAGCTCACTGAGGCCTCTGGGGCATATGTTTAAAGGACACAGGGAGGCCACATTACAGAACAGGATTTCAATGTCAGCACTGCTGAAATTTGGGGCCAGAGAATTCTTTGTGTTCAGGGCCTTCCTGAGCAAGGTGGGAGGCTCCCCAGCATCCCCACATCTCTGCCCAGTAGGTGCAGCAGCCTATCCCCATGTGACAACCAGCAGTGTTTCCCACATGGCCACATGTCCCCGGGGCAGCAAGGGGCTCAGGATCAAGAATCTCTGGTATGTGGAGCAAAGCTACATAGGCTAGTGTTCAGGGGACTCTGTGAGCCTGGTGGTGACATGGGAAGCAGATTGTGAGAAAGGCACAGGCGGACAGCACTTCTGCCTGACGCCTAAGAATTGGAGTATTGCAGACAGAATGCAGGGAATCCTGAAGTGAGTCCCCCTGAGTGTGAGGGGCATACGTGGCATCCTGGAAACCGCCCACATAGTCTGGACTGAGGCTGTGAGCAGGCAAGTGCCAGAGCAGGGGCCTGTATCTCAGCGTTGGCTGCACCTTCTCATCGCCTGGGGAGGCTGTGGAAGGCCGATGCCACATCTCAGGCCCATCACCTCAGACTCTGTGGGGGTGGGTCGCAGGCCTCTGTCGTTTTTAATGTGTCCAGGTGATTCCAGCAGGTAGCTGGGATTGGTGACCCCTGAGCTTTAGGAAGCGGTGCTCAGACACATCTTCCTGGAAAGAGCTGTGGCCTCCTGCACAGCTGGGTTCACACTCTGCCTTGCCACCTGCTGACTGGCAGGTAGTCCCTGGTCCCCTGAGTCAGCTGCTCTCAGCTTCAAAGTAGGGGAAGATGCCTGCCCACCAAGTTATTCTCCACTTAGACTGGTGACCAACTGTCCCAGGTTGACCAGAACTGTCCCTGTTTGCCTTGAACGGTCCCAGTTAGCACTGAAGCATCATGGAAAACGCCTCAGAGCCAGGCACACCAGGAGAGTTGGGCGCCCTAAATTGCATGGAAGTGCTGAGTTCCTAGAGGGGGCTCAATGTATGTTCCCTTTGATCAGTTAAAAAAAAGCTGGAAATGGATAGAAAACCGACTAACACAGGGACATTGTCACCAACTACTGGAAGCCCCAGCAAGAGCTAAGCTGTAGGTCTGAGTACACTACCCAGTTAGGAAATGGAAGGGAGGGAGAAAGGAAGCAAGAGAGAGGGAGGGGAGGAGGGGAAGAAAGGATGGGTAGCTTTAATCACATTTTGTGCAGTTTGGTCTGAGGGGAATAGTGTACCATTTCAAGTCTTAGTCTGTGTATTCTAGTCAAACTTAGCTTTCAGCTGATTGTTCTTTTTCTATTAACTGATTGAAGTAAGACCTATGGCTTTTCCATCTGTTCGGTGAAAAGCTCCCAAAACACCTGGCACATTCCACCACATTGGGCAACACAAGCTAACACAGTGCTCCAACCCTGAAGGGCACTCAGGGTGCATCCTAGTGGTCATGTGTTCTGCACCCACCCCACCCCCACCCCCTCCAATCCTCCGGTTACTTTACCGTCATAAGCCTGGCCAAGGAATTCAAACCAGCCCTGGCTGCTGACTCCCAGGACCAAGGAGCAGAACACGAGGCCGGTGAAAAGCTTCATGGTGCTGAAATGAAAGGGGAGGGTCAGGGAGACACAGGCAGGACTGGCACACCTCCTTTCTGCTGTGCATTTCCATTTGTTCTCATGAGACGCTGGCTGCCCATCTAGGAAACATTGCAGTAGGACCTCACTCAGAGCCACAATGCTGAACCCATCAACCATGAACCCAACACTGTCTAGGAGTCACCAAGGTGGCACTGAGGGAGCAACAGAGCAGTTAGGACCAAATCTCCTGAGCAGCCTGTAATGAGACCAGAAACTACCCTGTGCACTCGGCCGGCACAGACCCCATACAGCACAAATGCAGAAGAGAGTAATTATTTTAAATGAATGTACAGTCTTGCTGGAAAGAGAAAACAGAGCAAGGTTTGTAGAGCAAGGCCTCCTGGGAGTGGCCCCTCACCTGGTCTCTGATGGAACCGAGCTGCTGGTCCCTGCCTGCTGGGGACCGCTGGCTGCTATTTATTGATGCTGAGCCCTCCCTGCTGGATCATGTGGGTGCAGAGGGGCAGGAGAGAAGCCAGATTTGGCACCTGGGGAAAGTCCCTCTGGATCATTTCTCCTAAAAAGCTGCAAAGGACACTTACTGGACAGCAGTGACCAGTCTTCATGCACAGGTCATGTCCCCGTTGTGCAACCCTGAAGAAATACAGTAAACTCGCTCTTCCCCGCAGCCACAGGTCAGGGGTGGCTCTGCTTTAATAGTTGAAGGGGCCAAGGCAGGGCCCCCTGGATGTGGAGAGGAAGGGTGAGGGGCTCTAGGATGGGGCACCCAGGCTATTGGAAGGTGTGCAGTGAGGGGCCGTCTCCTCCCGCCAGGACCTTGCTTTAGTGGTCATTCCCTCAGGATGGTTCCTGCTGGGCCAGTTGGTAGATGTGTCAGAAATGAAACCCCTTTTGAGTTCATTCTAAAGCTCTTGAGCTTCAAAACTGACAGGATAGCTCACCAAATCTCCCGGGTGCCCTGGAAGATGCTTCCATCACTCTGACTACATGCTCAGCTCTCAGCTCCAGGGCACAGAAAGGCCTGCTCACCTGGCTCAGCCACAAGGAAGAGCTGGCTCTTGTTATCAGAGCTGACTCCTCATGGGACAGTGGATGGCGGTCCTCTGCTTTCCCTCACCCAATCCTGCAGACCCCTCACAGTGGGAGTAAGATGCTGTATGATAAATTTGCAGCTCGCCTAGGAAGTGCCAGGCTCCCAGTCAGGGGAAAGGAGGGGAAAGAGGGTGCGTGCTCTTTGTGCCCAGTATTACCCTATGGGGGCCCTGTCTGCCCCTGGTCATTATGAGTCTAAAATGTCAGCAGGTCAGCACAGCTCCTCAGGGGCTGCTGGAGGAAACAGGGGGTGGAGAGGGGTCAGTGCTGGAGCCCAGCAGGGGTGAGTCCAGGGTAGGAACTGAGGCTGGTGAACATGTCAGCGCCTGCTGGTTTCTTCTTCCCCAATCCATCTTAACACCCCAAGGGTCAGGCATTTACAATACCAACAAGACATCTTGCAAGGGGCAGGACTAGGGAAGTGGTAAAGGAGACCAAATGGCCTGGAGACAGCCTATGAATGTCTTCATCTGCTCTCGGCCATGATGGCCACTCACATGGTCCCCCTCACCAGATACTACATCCCAATACCGTACCACTAAGTTGGTCCATGCTAGAACCTGCCCTGCTCACACACTCACGCACATTCCAGGCTAGAGAGCTGACTTCCCCAGGAGGCATGAGCTCACGGGGCAAAGCTACCATGCATCCAAGTAGCACAGTGGCTCTGAAAGAAAGTCAAGTTAAAAAATAATACTAAATCCCCCAGAATTAATGGGTTGGAGAGAAGCAAAGAAAATTTTTTAAAAAAATAATAAGTATCATCAAAAGGGGTAAAACAGAATATAAAGTAGAAACTATCAGTTTTGAAGAAGAATAAAATGAAAATAAAATTATAAAATAATACTTAATAAAACACCTCAATAAAGAAATAAATAACAGATCAATGCTACTGAATAATAAATTATCTGGCAGGACAGCCCCAGGAACTTTCCCAAGAGGCAACAGAAAGAAACAGAGTTGGAAATTATTCAAAATTTTTCAAAGATGTAGGAGAGCTGCAGAATTATTAATATTAATATCCAAGGAGAAAAAAATAGAAAGGTAGAAGTAGTAGAGTTCATGACTCAAAAAGAAAAGAACAATATAGATCAGTGATGGCGAACCTATGACACGCAAACTCATTTTTTTAGTTGATTTTTCTTTGTTAAATGGCATTTAAATATATAAAATAAATATCAAAAATAGAAATCTTTGTTTTACTATGGTTGCAAATGTCAAAAAAATTCCTACATGTGACACGGCACCAGAGTTAAGTTAGGGTTTTTCAAAATGCTGACATGCCGAGCTCAAAAGTTTCGCCATCACTGATATAGATCAATGGAATAGAATAGAGAGCCCAGAAATCGACCCAAACCAATATGCTCAATTAATATTTGACAAAGGAAGCAAGAACATACAATGGAGTCAAGATAGTCTCTTTTATAAATGGTGTTGGGAAAATTGGACAGATACATGCAAAAAAATGAAACTAGACCACCAACTTATACCATACACAAAAATAAACTCAAAATGGATAAAGGACTTAAATGTAACACGGGAAACCATAAAAATACTAGAGGAATCCAAAGGCAACAAAATCTCAGACATATGCCAAAGCAATTTCTTTACCAATACAGCTCTTAGGCCATTGGAAACTGAAGAAAAAATAAATAAATGGGACTACATCAAAATAAAAAGGTTCTGCACAGCAAAAGAAACCATCAACAAAACAACAAGAAAACCCACTGCATGGGAGAACATATTTGCCCATGTTATCACCAATAAGGGTTTAATCTCCAACATTTATAGGGAACTCATACAACTTAACAAAAGGAAGATAAACAATCCAATCAAAAAATGGGCAATGGACCTAAATAGACACTTTTCAAAAGAGGACATTCAGAAAGCCAAGACATATGAAAACATGCTCAAAGTCACTAATCATCTGAGAGATGCAAATCAAAACAACAATGAGGTACCATCTCACACCGTCAGAATGGCTATCAGCAACAAATCCACAAACGACAAGTGCTGGAGAGGATGTGGAGAAAAAGGAACACTCGTGCACTGCTGGTGAGAATGCAGACTGGTGCAGCCACTATGGAAGACAGTATGGAGTTTCCTCAGAAAGTTAAAAACGGAACTCCCATTTGACCCAGTGATCCCACTTCTAGGAATGTATCCCAAGAAACCAGAAACACCAATCAGAAAGGATATATGCATCCCTATGTTCATAGCAGCACAATTTATCATAGCTGAGATTTGGAAACAGTCTAAGTGCCCATCAACAGATGAATGGATCAGAAAACTGTGGTACATCTACACGATGGAATACTAAGCTGCTGTAAAAAAGAAGGAACTCTTACCATTTGCAACAGCATGGATGGAACTGGAGAGCATTATGCTAAGTGAAATAAGCCAGTCAATGAAGAAAAATACCACATGATCTCACTCATTTATAGATAATAAAGACCATTATAAACTGATAAACAAAAATAGATGCAGAGGCAGAGCAGCATCGAACAGACTGTCAAACTACAGCAGGAAAGCAGGGGAGGTTTGGAGGGTGGTAAGAGATCAACTGAACGACTTGTATGCATGTATATAAGGATAACCAATGGACAAAAGACACTGGGGGGTAGGGGAGGCCGGGGGAAGGTCAAGGGGGGAAAAAAGGGAGACAAATGTGCTACTCTTTGTAATACTTTAAGCAATAAAACAAAAAAAAGCAAGATGAAAAAAGAAAAAGAAAATAAAATATATTAATAAATTTGATAACCTAAATAAAGTAAATGTATTTCTGGGAAAATATAAATTCTAAATGGGTAAATGAAGAACTAGAAAAATTAAATAGAATAATATTTATAAGTAAATTGAAATGATAGAGTAATTATAATTCAATTATAAGTAAATTGAAATGAAATTCCTCCAAAATGTAGACTCAGCTTCACAGTTTACTATTAAAACTATTAAGAGAATTCAGTGAGATTGCCATATTCAAGATAATTTTAAAAATCACGTGTTTCTCTGCAATAATTCTTAAGTTAAAAAATACAATATATAACAGTACCAAAAACATTAACTGTCTAGGAAACAACCTAAAAAATACATAAACTTTACAGAAAAATTTGAAAGTTCACTAAGGAATAAACAATGGGGATGCATGTGCTGTTCACGGAGAGGATGTTTTACTGTAGTAAAGATTAACTATCTGCCCTGGTTGGTGTGTCTCAGTTGTCTGAGCATCATCCCTTGCAACTAAGGGTCTCGGGTTCGATTCAGGTCAAGGACACATACCTGGGTTGCAGGCTTGATCCCTGGCCTGATGTGTGTACAGTAGTCAACCAATCGATGTGTCTTACATCAATGTTTCTCTCTCTCTCTCTCTCTCTTTTTTATTAAATCTTTATTGTTCAGATTATTACATTTGTTCCTCTTTTTCCCCCCCATAACTCCCCTCCTTCCAGTTCCTGCCCCACCCTCCGCCCTCACTCCCCACCCACTGTTCTCATCCATAGGTGCACGATGTTTGTCCAGTCTCTTCCCGCATCTCCCACACCCCTTTCCCCCCAAGAATAGTCAGTCCATTCCCTTTCTATGTCCCTGATTCTATTATAATCAACAGTTCATTCTGTTCATCAGATTATTTATTCACTTGATTCTTAGATTTACTTGTTGATAGATATGTATTTGTTGTTCATAATTTGTATCTTTACCTTTTTCTTCTTCTTCCTCTTCTTAAAGGATACCTTTCAGCATTTCATATAATACTGGTTTGGTGGTGATGAACTCCTTTAGCTTTTTCTTATCTGTGAAGCTCTTTATCTGACCTTCAATTCTGAATGATAGCTTTGCTGGATAAAGTAATCTTGGTTGTAGGTTCTTGCTATTCATCACTTTGAATATTTCTTGCCACTCCCTTCTGGCCTGCAAAGTTTTTGTTGAGAAATCAGCTGAGAGTCGTATGGGTATTCCCTTGTAGGTAACGGAGTTTCTTTCTCTTGCTGCTTTTAAGATTCTCTCTTTGTCTTTTGCTCTTGGCATTTTAATTATGATGTGTCTTGGTGTGGTCCTCTTTGGATTCCTTTTGTTTGGGGTTCTCTGCGCTTCCTGGACTTGTAAGTCTATTTCTTTCACCAGGTAGGGGAAGTTTTCTGTCATTATTTCTTCAAATAAGTTTTCAATATCTTGCTCTCTCTCATCTTCTGGCACCCCTATAATTCTGATGTTGGTACGCTTGAAGCTGTCCCAGAGGCTCCTTACACTATCTTCGTATTTTTGGATTCTTTTTTCATTTTGCTTTTCCGGTTGGGTGTTTTTTGCTTCTTCGCATTTCAAATCTTTGACTTGATTCTTGCCCTCCTCTGGTCTGCTGTTGGGAGTCTGTATCGTATTCTTTATTTC